ATCTCGGTTTCACCTGACTGGTTTATTTAATATTACCATCGACTTTTGCTAGTGCCACATCTCTGCCCTGACACCAGTGTGTCCCTCTAGATCAGCTTGACATTTGGTTAGGACAGCGTCTGAAACCCCTTCTAATTGAATTAGGCAATTTCGAGTGGTTGGAAATCAACTTAAATTTAAGTAAGAGGCTTTTTCAAATGCCTATTGGTTTAAGTGATTTGAAAAGAATAAAGGAAACATAAAATGGAAGCTTAAGGAAAGTTTGGAAGGAAGAATCATATTACCTAGTCAGGAGTTCGTTCGTTCGTTCTTTCTTTCTTTCTTTCTTTCTTTCTTTCTTTCTTTCTTTCTTTCTTTCTTTCTTTCTTTCTGATACATTCTCTAAAGCCCAAAAGCTCAAACTCCTTTTCTTTATTTTATTGATTTTATTGAGCTCTACATTTTTCTCTGATTCCTTCCCTGCCTCTCCCCTCCCCTTCAACCCTTCCCCATGCTCCCAATTTACTCAGGAGATCTTGTCTTTTTCTACTTCCTATGTAGATTAGATCTATGTATGTCTCTCTTAGGGTCTTCATTGTTGTCTAGGTTCTTTGGAATTGTAATTTGTAGGCTGGTTTCCTTTGCTGTATGTTTAAAAAACACTTATGAGTGGATTAATATCTGGGTCTTCAGTTCAGTTCCATTGGTCCTCCTGTCTGTTTTTATGCCATTTCAGGCTGTTTTCAGTACTGTAGCTCCGTAGTAGAGTTTGAAGTCAGGGATTGTGATGCCTCCAGAAGTTCTTTTATTGTACAGGAATGTTTGGGCTATCCTGGGTTGGTTTTTTTTTTTTTTTTTTTTTTTTTGCTTTTCTTTATTTTTTTTTTTGAGTATTTTTTTTTCGAGGTCTGTGAAGAATTTTGCTGGGATTTTGATGGGTATTGCATTGAATCTGTAGATTGCTTTTGGTAAGATTGTCATTTTTACTATGTTAATTCTACCTACCCAAGAGCATGGGAGATCTTTCCACTTTCTGGTGTCTTCTTCAATTTCTTTCTTCAAAGATTTAAAGTTCTTGTCATACAAGTCTTCCACTTGTTTGGTTAGAGTTACTACAAGATATTTTATGCTATTTGTGGCTGTTGTGCAGGGTGATGTTTCTCTGATTTCTTTCTCAGCCCATTTATCATCTGTGTAAAGGAGGACTGCTGATTTTTTAAAGTTAATTTTGCATCGTGTTGCATTAACTAAAAGTGTTTATGAGTTGTAGAAGTTCCTTGATAGAACTTTTGGAGTCGCTTATGTAAAATATCACATCATCAACAAATAGTGAGAGTTTGACTTCTTCTTTTCTGATTTGTATCCCCTTGATCTCCTTTTGTTATCTTATTGCTCTAGCTAGGACCTTAAGAACTATATTGAATAGATATGGAGAGAGTGGACAACCTTGTCTTGTTCCTGATTTCAGTGGGATCACTGTGAGTTTATCTCCATTTAGTTTCATGTTAGCTTGCTGTATATTGCCTTTATTATGTTTGGGTATATTCCTTGTATCCCTTCTCTCTCCAAGGCCTTTATCGTGAAGGGATGTTGTATTTTGTTGGGAGCATTTTCAGCATCTATTGAGATGATCATGTGGTTTTTATTTTTTCAGTTTGTTTATATGGTGGATTACATTAACAGATTTTCATGTGTTGAACCAGTCCTGTATCTCTGGGATGAAGCCGACTTGATTGTGGTGGATGATGGTTCTAATGTGTTTTTTTTATTCGATTTGCCAGTATTTTATTGAGTATTTTTACATCAATGTTCATGAGTAAGTTTGGTCTGTAATTCTCTTTTTTAGTAATGTCTTTCTGTGGCTTGGGTATCATGGTAATTGTAGCCTCCTAAAAATAGTTTGACAATGTTCCTTCTGTTTCTATTGTGTGGAACAATTTGAGGAGTATTGGTATTAATTCATCTTTGAAAATCTTGTAGAATTCTAAGCTGAAACCATCTGATCATGGTCTTTTTTTTATTGGAAGACTTTTGATGACTGTATTTCTTTAGAAGTTATAGGTCTGTTTAATTTGCTTATCTGATAGTGATCTAATATTGGTAAGTGATATTTATCCAGAAAGTTGTCTGTTTCCTTTAAGTTTTCCAGGAGTTCTTTTTTATTTCAATCCTAAGTGGATCACATGCATGTGCTCTACCATAATGCATGTACTTCTTAATGTTGTATCAGAATATATTCCACCTACATCTTTATGTCCCACAATACTTCTAGAATGGGTTCTGACCGGCGAAGATAATTCAAAGTAAGTATAACACATACACATAACCCTCACTCTGGCAATAGAATATTCCTCATAATTCCGTTTGGGAATTATTGGAGTCTGGCTTCTTTGCTTTGTACCAAGTGAATCCCACTGGGCCCTCCTTACAGATGTGCCCTGTGCTTGGAAATAGTGCCTTTTGCTCTAAAGCATGTCTTCGTGTCTGACTGTTGTGCCAGTGAGGTCTGTGGGGCAACAGCGCTTCTGCTTTGGCTTGGAGTCACTCACCTATTATCCTGCCTTCTGTGGCATCAACCTTTAGGGTGGGATTCTTGACCAATGCCCTCTTAAGCCTGATACACCCATCCACCCTAATGACTGCCAGGAAGGGTTTAACCATCACATTGTGAAAAGCCCCATGCTTTAGGGACCAAAACAAGGATAACAAATAAAAATATCCTGTAGTGAGAGACCATGGAAAAAGGTGGGTTGGGGGGGGGGGCAGGACTGCTTTTTTGGTACCCTCCCTCAAGTAGAAACCCAACAGTGGATTCCCTGACCTTAGCGTTCCCTTCCTGCAGCTCCTTTATGTGTGGTACTGTCTTTTGTGTTCCCTGCAGCTCCTATATAGATGGTTCCGTTTCTTCCCCATGCATCACTTCTCCTCCCACTGAAGAGCTATAATGTCACTTCTTTATTGCTCTAGCAGTACTTGCCCTGGTGTCTGCAATTAGTGTACACTCAGCAATATTTGTAGGATGAATTAATGCCGCCAAATTAGCCTATTTATCTTCATAATTGCATAACAACTTGTGTTTTAATGCAATTAGAATTGTGGGCAGCCGAGGCTTAGAAACATGTATTTAAGAAACATTTAGGTGGAGACCATATGCATCAGTGGTCTTGACCCTTAGAAGGCTCACGGGAAGGAGCATTAGTGGGAAGGCAGTCCATTGCCTGTATATAAAGGGAAGCAAAGCACAATACAAAACAACAAAGCTAATTCTTGACTGATGGCCATATCTGTTTCTATTAGTGCCCCTGTAATAGCGTGTGCCTCCTTAATGGCTGCTCCAGAGAACAGTGGAAAGGACATTGAATGTGAAACTGAGATTCAGTAGCCCCCAGGGCAGACATGTCATGAGAAACCAAGCCTGACATTAAATCCTCATCTTTCATCCTTCAGAAGCAACTGCATCTTGTGTGGGAACTAATCTGAATTCTGTCCCCGAGTGGTGTCGCGATAATAAATGACGTGCCTGCTCCTGTATAATAATATTGTGCCTCTCAAACTTTTTAAATAATAAAAGTATGAAAGAGTAAAGCATCTAGATCATTTCATGCTCTCTCTATGTTTTTAGATAATTTACTACTACACAGTGATGTAGAAGAGACACAGAATTTGAGGTCTTTTTTTTTTTTTAAGAAAATGATCTCTGAAGACAGTGATCCAAACATGTTGGAACAATGAAAACACTAATAAAACAAAGGCTGTTGTCCTATAAAAAAATGAATGGATAATAAACTTATTGAATAAAACTTAACTCCTATTATTTATTGCAAGAAAGAATATTTCACTTCTATCAACAAGAATAATTAAAAGTTAAAACTTGGATTGGGTTTTTTTTTTTTTTTTTGGAAAATGATCTGAGGTCCAAAGGGCTGTACTTTTTCTTAACTACAATGTTCTAAGCTCTAGTGGGCAGGAAGAATGGGAAATTATTAATACTGTTGCAGAAAAACCCCAGAAGCCTCCTATGGGGAGTAATCCGTGACTGACAGAGAGCATAGATTATATCTGCAATTGCTCCATGATTTTAACTTTTATGTTTAAATTGACTTTTCTTGCTATTTGGGGATTAATTAAAATCCTTAAGAAAGAAAATCAAAGTTCACTACAAATACTAAGTAGATTCGTAGATCCTAGAAAATGTTCCATATAAGTTCACTTAATTCTCGTGATTTAATTCTAGCATATGGTACTTAGGGATACCATCTAATGCCACCAATTCCTTGGGCTATATAAAAAAAGCAAAAAATAGAACTGCCTTAATTATACTTCAATGTTGAAGGGACCTTTTGATATTTGTCTCTGTCTCCTCAGGGTCCAGTGAATGACAGATGTTTAATGAATGTTGGTTGAAGGGAAGGTGACTTAAAGTTGTAACTTTCAAAATTGATTATTGAGAGAAATGCTGTGCGTTTGATTTTGTGATCTTCTGTGGAAATCAGATAGCCTAAAGTAGCATATTAATGGTGTCATAAGATTTTCAGTTATACAGTTTTTCACTATCATCAACTGATTGACTGGTGTCTCTCTCTGCCGTGCTGGCTAGTTTTATGTCAACTAGACACAAACTAGACTCTTCAGAGAGGAGGGAGTCTTGACTGAGGAAATGCTTCCATAAGATTAGGCTCTAGGCAAGCCTGTTGGGCATTTTCTTAGTAGTTAATGAGGGAAGGCCTGTCCATTGTGGGTGTGCCTACCCCTGGGCTGGTGCCCCTGGGTTCTATAAAAAAGCAGACTGGGCAAGCCATGGGGGCAAGGCAGTGAGCAGCACCCCTCTGTGGCCTCTGCATCATCTCCTGCCTCGTGTTCCTGCCCTGTTTGTGTTCTGGTCCTTGCTGCTTTTGTTGGAAAACTGGTATATGGAACTGTGGGGGAAATAAACATTTTCCTCCTCAAGTTATTTAGAGAGTGAGGTATAGCTAAAGGCAGGAATGATTGTATTAATACTCTTGTCATCTTGTTTATTTTAGCCAAAACAACGAACATCTATTGTGTCTTCTCTGGATTTCCAGCGAATGAATCATAACCAAGAATATTTTGAAATCAGCACGTCTACAGGGTGCGCCAGCTTTCCTTCCAGTCCTCCAGTTAGTCCGCCCACCTCTTCCGTGGGAACCACAGAAGTCAAGAACGAGGGAGCTGAGCACACAGGTAAAACAGTTCACTTTATGCAAGTATACTTTTGAGCTTTAACAGAGTCTTTATGAGCTTTGGTGATTAAGAGAAATCTTCATCCAAATTTTATTTCCAGTTCACATTTTATGAGCAACAGTATAGGGTATTCATATTTTTATTATGGCAAGGGTGTGATACTGTTTTTAATACAATAGTGGTCTTTCCAGTGTTGACATTAATGTAACAATTTAATATTATTATGGTTTTAATAAAAAGGGGCCTAGAAATGCTTTTTTCTTCCACTGTCGTTCACTACTCTCCTGCAGTTCTATCAGCTAATCAACATTAGACCTGTTGATAGCTGCTTTGAGACTGGAAAACCCTTACCAAGGATGTCTGGTGAGACTGAGTTCGGCACTGTTGCTAAGACAGATGTCACCACTTACACCCAAGTGAACTTGGAAAAGGAGGGGTGTAAGAGGGAAGTAGTCCCGCCCACTAGGGAAAGCTTTCTGGGTCTAGCCAAGCAGATTCACAGTGTTTCTGTTCTTCAGAGAAGAATGAACCAACAGCTAACTGATGCAGACGTGAGAAGTATCTTCCTCTTCTGTCTAATTCACAGCAAACACACTGCCCAGTTGTTTCCATCCAAATAGTTTAAGATTGGTAGATATGGTTCACATTCATTTTAGAATCCTAAACAAAAGTCAGTTCCATTATTTCGACCATGTATCTGTTCAAACTGTCTGCATATAGATATATGTATGTATACTTACATGTTTAAGTCTTTTCACCAACACTATTATTAAAAGCATCAGAACAAACATTCTAAAAAATATACAGCTAAGGAATTATCTTCTCTGGGGTTCCAAGTAATAACACTGATGCTCTGTAGAAGCCAAAATCCAATCTTTCATAGCAGCTGGAGAGATATTTATAAAATGTAAATCAAGGTGCACCATTGGTGTGTTGATGTATGCCAAGGGATTTGGGTCCTTATATGGCCAATGAAGCCATCTGTCACCTGGTTCCAAAATTGCTGTGGAACCTGACCTTCAGCACACTCACCCAGGCCTCCTTTGCAGGACCCAGGCTTAGGGACTTCGGCAATCTGGTTCTTTCCACCTGCAAGCTGTGTACTTTAATGCCGATGTTATGGAGAATCATTTAGGTTTTGACTTGGTCATGCTTCTTCACATGATCTTCAGAGTGTACTATCTTGAGTAGCAGTTCTTAATATGATGAGGATTGTGGTAAGAAAGAAGCAAAAATAAATGCAACGGTTCCAATAATTTAAAAAAAGCACATACTTAGTGCTAGGTGAGACAGTGTTTTTGGTATTTCCCTTATATCAGCTCATCATAACCTTTGGTGGGCATACAGGTTGAGTGGTAGCTTTTACAGTGAAGGAAATTTGGGCACAAAGAAGAGCAATAACAGCCTCCCACCCAAACAGTGCTGGCATTCAAACCTAGTGCCAGTGTCCCTATTCCCACACTTTCCTCTGTTGCTATGTTCACTTTGGTGATATCTGTAGGAGGACAGTCTAGCCTCACACTCATGGTCCTACCCTAGCTCCCTGTGTGCTGGAATTACAGGGGTGTAGCACAACACCTGGCTTGTTCTAGTTACTTCTATCAAATTTTCTGTTTTTTTCTTCTCTGGTCTTATCTGCATATGAAATAATGCCGATGGCTTTTCTGCTTAGCAACTGTCTTGTCTCTTCTTTCTAGAATGTAGACTATGGTAGATGGGTTTGGCACATCATAAGCCTTGAAGTCAGGCTGCCTAAACTGATTACTAATTATGGGACAAGCTCAGTTTTTGGTGCTACAGGTCTTCTCCTCTAAAGAGAGAGAGTTATAGAACAAGGAACTAATTAGATTTCCTTAGCCTACAGTGTAACAGTGCTTCTAAAGCCACAATTAACATCACATCCTATCAGGCATTAAATTGGTGCTCAATAAATATTAGTAACTGTCCATAGTAGTTGCAGGAATTGCAATATTCTTATACTTCCCCTTCGTCTACTCAAAACTCCACATTTCTTCAGTGTGTATATACTGTTTCCCGTACAGAAGAAAATGGTATAGGATGAGGATTAGGATTTGCCTCCTAAGGAGAAAGGGCATTTGGACCCTGGAAAGGATTCGGGGTGTATACAATTATTATTCACCCAGAACTTACTTGATGCTCAGTTCCAGATCTTAAAAGCCCCCAGTGGAAGAAGTGGCAAGAATTGCTCTACTTCACCAGCTTCCTTTTATTTCAAACACAAAGGTTTTCAAGGATGCAAATTTTGCAGTTATATTTGAGGTAGATCGAGATTGTGCTCATTTGTATTTTGTTTTTGTTTCAGTTTTTTTGCCATTAAAAGTCATAGCTGTAGGTATAGAGCCTAAGCCCTGAACCCAAGAGAGAGGGTAAGAACTCTCTTTTGCTGCATCATCCAGAATAAGTAGTGTAGTTGTTAGCCTGGGATGCTTTCTGTCTGCCTTCAGCTGAGCGGAAACCTAACTGTCCAGACGGGTCCCAGCAGCCTTGCCTTGACTTCATCCTGCAAGGCTCACTCGAACAGTTCACTGCAACCTCAGCAGCAAACTGGTACTTTGTAATAGTGTGCAAAGATGATGCCGATTTGCTTTAAATTAAAAGGTAAAACTTTAAGATTTTTTAAGATAGTTTTTTTTCTTGTCTAGTTGAAAAAGTAGTAGTTTATTACCTTAAAGACAGGGTTAATTTGTTACGCTTTGGACATAAGAACCTCCCTCTGCAGACCCTCCCGAGTGGCATGTACTGTGTGTTCCGTCCTGGAGTTTTTCAGTATCTCCTGTCAAATCTCTTTTCCATTCTTCAATTTGCTCTTTGGAAAAGAGAAAGTAAGATGACTTCCTTCAATATCCATGATATGTGAGTTAATACATCTTTATAAACTATGGAAACTAATATTCTTTAATATTTTCAGTTTTTATCTTTCCTTTTAATATTAATACTTGAAATCTGCCAACTTTTTAAATGCAGAAGCGTCTTTTGTGGCCTTTTCTTGACTTTGAAGTATAATTTAATTAACTATACATGTGCGGTTCATTTTATAAATGATGGTACAAAACATTAATCTTGACAAAAATGGCATTTAATAGAGCAAGAATGAATGTTGTTTTATTTTCAGCACAGTGGCTTACACCTTAATCTACTGCTATTTCAGCCAGAAATTGCGATTCCACAGTTACTGGTCTGCTTCTCTAGAAGCGACCTGGCTGCAGCCTGGCGGGAATTCTGTTCCCCTAGGCACTGGCTTTGCTGGTGCTAAAGGCAGCTTTAACTAAATAAGACTCGAGGTTCAAAGGCTGGGGTGTGAAACACTGTTAGCTCAGAGGGGCTGAATAGCAACCAGCTAGCCCTCTTTCTCTCCTTGCTGACTTCTCCTGCAAGGGGTCATCCTTCAGCTCAGCAAAAACGAAGATAGCCATGTCACTCAAAACCCTATTCTAGTATTTCAGGCGCATCTCTCTGTCTCTCCCAGGTGCTCTCTGATGCTCTCTGATGATGACTTTCTGTCAACTAGTTGCTAACTCATCCTCCTGCTCCAATGTTAATTTTATTTAATTAAAGCAAATGCTAATTAGGGGTTCACAGCATTATCGAATACCCTTCCCTGCCCCCAACAAGCTATTATACATTTAAAGGTTAATGCCAAAATTCTAGGTGAACCAACAGATTTATTTTGAGGGACAGCCATTGAAAAGCCTTCTGGACTGTGATTAAAGCTTCAGTTTAGATGTCATCCAGCAAGGCTGAAGAAAGGAAAAGCTTTGGCAGTAAGTGTGGGAATCCTATGGACAGAATTGCATTTAACTAGGGAGGTTAGTATTCATCTTCAGGAGGGGGAAGGAGGAGGAGGAGGAAGGAGAAGAAGGAGAAGAAAAGAAGAAGAAGCAGAAAAAGCAGTTGGCTAATTGGTTCTGTTGACCATAGTTCCTACATGGGCTACAAAGAGGACTAGTTACTGGTGAATTTAACAGTATAGAACTTACTGATGACCTTTATAAGACCAACCTGATTAGAACTAATGGGGCAAGCATCAACATAATGTGTGCAGGGAAACAAGAGGTGAGGACTTACAGAGGGCGAGGATAGACCATTGTCAGTCTCACCAGGGTGTTCGTTCCAAAAGAACTGCTAACTTCTGAAGAAGGAGAAACAGGGAGGGGTCTGTGAAATAAGGGGAAAGACTGACTTCAGACAGGAGTATCTTGCCAGCAGGAAGGATGCGTTGGGTGTGGGTGAAAATGCAGGCAAGGTCACCCATGCAGCAGTCTACAGAAAATCTGATAGTGTATACATTCTCTGTTAGGTAGAAAGCAGTGGCTCCCACTGGGAAGAGAGACAGCTAGAGCACAGCATCTGAGAAGAGGTGAAATAGGTGCATAGGAGAAAACAGGCATGGAGTGACCTCTTCCCCCCCCCCCCCGCCCCGACCGACATAAAGGCCGAAGTGAAGCTGTGTGCTGTGTCACAAAGCACAGAAAAGACTAGCCAGTGCAGTTCTGTGTTTCCTCCAGCCCGCGTCAACTGGGAGACCCAAGAGCAGAAAACTGAACTCTAGACAAGTTCTGGATTTTCTATATGGGTATACTGAAGTAAGCAATTGAAGAGCAAGAAAACAGGAATGAAAGAAAGGATAGAAATTTGATACAGAATGGATATGGAGAAGGGAGAGAAAGAACAAAGAGATGAGTAACAATCAAACACAAGGGGGCCTTGAGGGCTGAAGATCCCAGAGGGCAAAGACTTCTATAGTCAAAACATGAAGAAAGCTGGAATGGAAGCGGAGAATCTGCAGTGGGAATGGACATGAGCCCAGGGGTGGTTTGATCTTGAGACCATGGTAGTAAGCCTGGGATTAGCCTGTACCCCTCAAAACAGTGTCTGTAGTTAGGTCAGTATGGTTTTCAAGAGGAGATACTTGGTGTGCAGGGCCATATCTACATATATGTTAGTCTGTTCAAAATATTTGACATAATCTTCATTTGTTC